TAGGTTTAGTGTTCAAACTTGAAGCTAATTTCAAACTAACACGCCCAGAAAAATGTAAGTAATCGCAATCGTCCAATTATGAAAATTTAATAATGGAACATTAAAAAAGAAAGGAAAAATAAAATTTACACGGTAAGTTTTGTGTTAAAACTTGAAGCTAATTTCGAACTAACACGCTCAGAAAAATGTAAGTATTACTAAAACTTAATAATAGGATATTAAAGAAAAAAAGAAAAAATTTAGACCACAGTAAGTTTAATGTTAAAACCGAAATTTTCTGGTTAACCAAATTCTCTCGTAACTACATTTTCAGCAAGCATCCAACATCGTGGACTCGGCGCGAATTATTTCGTTCAAATGGAAGGTGACAGGAGTGTTGCCATTTCCCGCGTCGCGGAAAAACATTTTTCCCGCCCTATTCGTCAGCCTTGAGCCACGCGGGCCCGCGGAATTGAAGCGGACTGGTTTCCACCGTCGCGAAACGTCTGGGTTGTTAAGCCGGCAGCGACGGGGTTTTATCGTGCATGTTCCCCGGTCAGCCGCGCTTCCGGTGTCCCTGCTGTCGCTGACGCGCAGTCACAATGTCCGGGACCGTCTGCCTTCCTGTTTCCGCTCGTCTCGCGTCTTTGAGCGCTTCAGCGTGTCGCTCGAAGCCGGCTCAGTGTTTAAACCGTTTCGAGTCCCGGCTTCTTGTCGCTTCGAATAAAAACCGGTAATCCCGCTGGTACAATCCGGCAAATCCTGTGCACCCGTGCACTCTCGTGTTTCGAGTTATCGCAATTAATTTTCTGCGAGATTTTCGCCCGCATTTGCGTGCTCGGTGTTTTAAATAACGCGAGTACGTCATGGATACGCTTCTGTGTTTTTCCCTCCGAAATTCTGGAATTCAGTGTCTATTACTCGGTCTTTCGTTAATATCGTGTTTAGTTTTTAGTGTCTACTATTTAGTATTCCTTTAATAGTCTTTCATCCGGTATTCAGTATCTATTATTTAATATTTTGGAGACTATAATATATTTAATATTCTGTGTCTACAGTTTAATATTCTTTTAATAGTATCATATTTAATATTCGGCATTTAATATTTAGTATTTTCTTAGCAGTGTTGTGTTTAATATTCAATACCTATTATTTAATCATTTTTGAATGCATTTAATATTTTATATTTATTATTTTATATATTTTTCTTTTTGATTATTCAGTATTACGCTTTGTATGCAGTACCTAGTATTTAATATCTGTTTAAATAATGTTTAAATAATTTTATTTTCCTTTTTCTTTATTAGTATCGTGTTTGGCATTCATTATTAAACGTTATTGGAATATTGCGAGTCTGATTGTCTCTTAGTGTACATAGTTGTCGAGCCTGAGTTTATTTCTCATCTATCACCATATTTTTTATTTTCTGCAAAGGATATCGGAGATTCGATATACTGGATGAATTCGATGCAACGTATATTTAACCATACGTTTGTTCTTTAATCGCTGTAATATCTGCACGAGACAAAGATTCACGTTTCTATAGGGAGATAAATTAATAACAATTTTGTAAATACCAGCTTCACAGATTACATTTATGAACTGAAATTGAATCGTTCTGTTTGACGATCTATTCCTCGAATCTTCGTTTAATTTTCGCGTATTTGCACCGCTTTATCAGAATTTCTAGCGTATATTTTGGAAAACCGATAGGAATTTCCAAATTTCTTTCCTCTCGATCGCCGATTTCGGAAAGAAATATCGACGATTCGAATTTTTATACCTGTTCGTGGTTCCACGAAGCTAGAATAATCTTGTCGTTTTATTTCCATGCTCCTGTACGAATTACATCCTTGGAGACCCAGTTTGTACCGAGAGTTCCTCCTTAACCGATCATATTATCGTGAACAGCCAACGTAGCTATAAGACTCGTGTTTTCCTCGTGTACCTGCTCGTTTCCACGATTTCCTTGCATTTTCCCCGGTATTATTCAGAGGAGGGATTTAAGAACTTGTTTCGTTTACATGAAAACATTTGAATGCTTCTTCAGCAGTAATCTCCTCGCTTTTTTCCACCGAGGCAGAGGAGCTCGTTTAATTAAACTTGTCATTATCGTTATCCTTCGAGTAAACGGTTAAATAATAAGCGGGATATATTTCTTGATGTGGAAAGGAATAAGGGCAAGAATAGAAAGGGTGGTAGAAGACTTATCTAGCAACGTAGAATTCTTGATGGCTGCTGGGATTATCGAATAGTACTCTTTGTAATGATTTCTCTTATAATATATAATAGAACAATCATAGAATTAATTCAAATGTATTAATTAATTACGAAATTGTAGTAATAGAATTTATAATTTGTTATATAAAATTATTTGTAATGTCATCCATGAAATTTGAAGTATATAAATATATTAAGTATAATTTACCTAATACAATTTATATAAAATCCTATATAATATATTTGTGAAACCGTGTGTAATCAATTCGAATGTATTAATTAATTACGAAATTATAATAATAGAATTTATAATACGTTATATAAAATTATTTGTAACGCCATCGAAGAAATTTGAAGTATATAAATATATTAATTAAGTATAATTTACCTGATGCAATTTATATAAAATCCTATATAATATATTTGTGAACCGTGTGTAAAATTATTTAGAATATCGTATCGAATTCTAAATGAAATTACATATAAAATTAAATATATTTATTTACATATATTTATAATACACACTAAATTATTTTATAAAAATTATACATATATCTAAATCATTCAAATATATTAATTAATTACGAAATTATAGTAAAAGAATTTATAATACGTTATATAAAATTATTTGTAACGTCATCCAAGAAATTTGAAGTATTTAAACATATTAATTAAATATAATTTACATAATGCAATTTATATAAAATCCTATATAATGTTATTTATGAAACCATTTGTAAAATTATGTACAATATCCCATATGGAATTATAAATGAAATTGCATATAAAATTAAATACATATATTTATAATAAACATTAAATCATTTTATAAAAATTGTACATACATCTAAATTATTCAAATAAAATATACATAAATATATATAAAACGAATTAAATATATTTTGTTTATTTCTTAGTACATGTATGTATCTCCAATTGTATTATAATCGTGTGAAACATGTTTATACTGTATTTACCTGAATATTCCTGAAGAAATCATAGATATGTATTTTTGTGGAACGTTTAGTCACGTCTGATCAAAATTTGATATTCTCGAGCACCCTCCATTTATACAATTCCGTCGCTCTATAGTTCGTTCTTCTCCAGTACCCTGTCCCAGACAGGCACTCTTATATTAGCTCCAAAAAAATGTATATTATTCTCAGTGACGAGTAATCACGGAATATTTCTAGTCGGCGAAGTTGAAAATGTAAAAGGAAATTGAAAGTGGCATTGCAGCACGTCAGAACTATTAAGCCGTCTCTAATAGAATTGTTGCTTTATCTGTGCAGTCAGCAGCGACGCTGTCATTTGTGTCCTTCTTATCAGAGATCACGAGGACGAACGGGGCCGTAATTATTATCTGCTCTTCCTTTTCTCCTTCACTCCAGGCTTTTTCACCTTTTCCTTTATCCTCGCTGTTGGGTATTATACGAACGGCTCGATGAGAAAAATTCGATTTCTTCTCTTTTTCTTCATTACCGAGTCCCTTTTCCTCGCTTCCTAGCTTTTTACAATTCGTTCCTCGTTCCCTTTTCTCGCGTTCCTCGCCGCGTTTTCTTTATGAAAAGAATCGCGTGAGCAAAGTCTCCCGTCCGCGCGTTCCGTGTGTGCCGCGTCTGTTATAATTACCGAGCCACGTTCTGGCTTTCAAGCGCTAAATAAAGTTCTACCGTTACTTCTTTAGTTATGCAATTTAATAGGCAACAATAAGCCGATGGTCGGATAAATAAACGAGGGCCCTCACGAGTCCCGGAGTCTGCGAAATTATTGTAAAAATCGCGATGGACGATGCTTGCAAAATTTTTAATTCTACAGCGCCAAGCATTACAAATTTTTATTCGTATAATTTATTAAATTTGGATTCCCGAATTTTCAAATGTTTAAATTTAAAACTCGATTTTAAGATTTCCAAGTACTTAAATTTTGGTAATTTCAATAATGTAAATTATGAAATATTTAAATTATTGAGTTATTAGTTATTTGAATTTCTTATCTGAAAAAATTCTATTCAAATTAATCACTTATACTATAATAACCAGTCTAACTCGTGAGTTTCTCATGCTAAACCCCATAAAGATGAATTATTCTCTCACTGGATTGAAGTTATATTTAACTTATTTTAATATTCTCAAAATTTCTGTAAATCCAAAAAATTTGCATAATTTTATTTCGAATAAAAGACATATATAATGGCTAAATGAAATGAAATAATTTTACAATTCGCTGTTTCTCATAATTAAATCATATCACAAGTGGTGAATTATTAGAAGTAAAAGGTTCGATATTAAGAAAATTAAAAAAAGGTTTTTTTAAATATATAATATATAATAATCTTCAGTATATGGTAACATCAATGCTCTATTATTTAACGAATCGAATTCAGCCTGAATTTATGAACAAATTTTAATGTATACCGCAAAGGGACTGTAACTCGTCGTGTCTGACCATATCGCGGGCAATACTACTTACTCGACCATCAGTCGTCAAAGGAAACTCGGAACACGGTGCTTCCTGTAATAATATACAAATCAATTACGTATTACGTTGCTACTGTAATATCCATCTCCCTTGCTAATTAATTTCCATACTAATTAACCATCCCCCCCCCCCCACTGCTTTTTATCGTCACGAAGCTTCGTGATTTTCCGCGGATAGTCCGTTTAAAACCTCATGACAAGAAAACGTTATTTAAATTTCTAATTATCGTTTCTACGATTTCTCGCGGGACAATAGAAGAATATTTCACGAGACTAATCGCGTTAGCACGTTGCTTACCAAACTCGTTCTTTTACTTTCAGAGCCACCGAGGCGTGAGTGTCTACGCGAGTAACAGTTTTCCGGCTCGATTCCCAAAACTTTCACGGTTATTCGCCTGAGCCCGACGACTTCGTGAGAGATTGTCTTCTGGTATAGAAAACGAGAGCTGATGAATAGCGAACGGAAGTCGATCATCTAAGCGGATCGGAAGCTGTGAACCGAGGACGTTCTCACGACTCGAAGGTAAGTTTCACTGTTTCAAAGTACGCTTTTTCGCCATCGTAAACCGCGACGTCTTATCGCGAATACGGAAACGTAGGAAGCGAATTTTAAGCCATTATAGATTTACCAAGACTCGCGAGGAATAACGTAAGTTTTACAAACGAAATCGTAACTTCGAATAATTCTTATTCGAATTTTCTTCAAACGTATTTTCCAATTATTAAAGATACTCGCATTTCTTGAAACAAAAATTACGAAGACTCGTAAGAAATAACATACAATTTTCCAAACGAAATTGTAAATTTAAATAATTTTTATTCTAATATTTTTCAAACGAATTTTCTAATTGCTAAAGTTCTCCGCGTTTCTTGAAACAAAATTATGAAGACTCGAGAAAAGTAACGTATAATTTTCCAAACGAAATTGTAAATTTCAATAATTTTTATTCAAATATTTTTGAAACGAATTTTCTAATTGCTAAAGTTGTCCGCGTTTCTTGAAACAAAATTATGAAAACTCGAGAAGAATAACGTATAATTTTCCAAACGAAATTGTAAATTTAAATAATTTTTATTCAAATATTTTTCAAACGAATTTTCCAATTTCTATACATATTCGCGTTTCTTGAAACAAAATTATAAATTCATATAAAGACGAGACATTTTCTAAATTAGTCTGGAATAAAAATTAAAATTAAAATAAAAATTAAGTAAAAATTTCTCGAATTCTTTTCATATGCACTTTTTCGCGATCGCTAAAATGATTTACGTTTCTCAAAACGAAAAGAAAAATCCATACGAAAATTCCAATTTTTCTTTTTTTCACGAGACGTCATCTACACACGATGGGTGACTATAATCACTGGCCACAAAAATTGAGTAAATAATTAAAACGAGTGCTACCATTACGCTTAGCTCTCTTTGCAAAGAATTGCAAGCTGTATTGCGATGGTCAATTTTTCCTTTTCCTTTTTTTCTTTTCAAAAGACTTAATCCTGAATGCTAAAGAGTGCATGATCGTAATATTTCCATCATTCACACGACATTACGGAAGAGACTTCGCGGCGACCCCCGCCGTAGCGAAAGGGGGTTATATAACGAAGCGAGCTAAATCGAGGGAAAATTGTTCGTACTCGATAGTTGATTCGATTTTTATGCTTGATTGCAATTTAACGGCACATGGTTGGTTTGTTTCCTCATGGGCGCGAATAGGAAACGGCGCGTTCCGGACTGCCCATCGAGGAGACGTTTAATTAACCTGTTAAATCGTTCGACGGTAGGGCCACACTCCGAGCTTTGATAATCATTCTTGCCGATAATTTCTGGAGCGTCATCGATACGCGTATCTTAAAGTAATAGGTCACTGCTTACGTAAGTGCATCGAGATGCACTTTCGAGTAAGCAGAAATGCACCTCTCGTAACCGCATTGCCTTCGATTTAACGAGCGTCGTTTGTCATTTCGTTTGAGCAACGTCACGCCATTCCAGGGCCAACGGGATGGTAATTGTGCGAGAATTTATGCGAAATTTTTAATCCCTCTGTTCGTTATCGAGCAGATTAAACGCGCGTAAAAATGTACGTCTCATTAGACAAATTTAATTAATCAAAATTTCCGTAAAACTTCTATTTTGAAATTTTTAAATACATATTTTAAATTTTCAAGCTATAACCATGTTGTTTCTTATGGTTAAAAAATTCTCTTTTAATTTATTTTAATTTTCTGTAATTTATTACAATTTATTAAAAATTATTGTTTCATAAATTTGCCTCGGAAACTTTTAAGAAATTAGTTATTAATATCTCGGAGTCTTGCGTTTTAATTTATTATTGAGGAAAGTTGGAGCTCTTCGATATCGATTTGACCTATTATTACGTATTTTTATTTATGGCACTGTATTAATAAATTCGAGTACAACGTGGGACTCGTAATGAGGCCGAATAATGTAGATTGGCGTATCAAGGGTGGAAGGTTCTCAGTGATTCCGATGAAACATTTATTTAGTGAATCAATTCGCATAATGGCGTTTCACAAGTTCGCTCTGCATCGAATGTGGGTGCTTTGATGACGCTAATTTCGCTTCTATCATTCGTGTACGTGTCCTGGAACAATAATTGCTTGGTCGGCCTGGTACATTGAGCCGCATGTACAAGAGCACTTCGTTGCATTAGCCGACCTGTGTTAATTGTATTTTATCGTAGTAAAATACCATTCTCCGATAGATCGAACTGTCCAAGTCCAAATTCATTTCTTGAAACATAACGCATGAATAATTTAACGAAGTACAACAGTCTACTTTGCGTTTAATCCTAATTGCAGCTTTGTTTATTCCTGTACTCATGAAAGCTACAATATGCGAGACAGTTTTACTCATTCTATATACAATATCTCGAATATTACGATGCACAATAATTTTGTTATTTTCAATTTATACATTTTTATTTCAAAGAATTGTTCTCGGTTTTAAAATATAGATTTTGAAATATAACGAATCAATTCTTAATTCGTTCCACTATTTGCTTTATTCTAAAAATAATTTTAAGAAAGATTGGTATTTCATTTATTATTCAAACGTGATTGAAGATTTTGGAATTGGTGGCAATTTTAGGTTCGATGAAACTCTGGAAAATTGCAATTTTCTTGCAATTTTACCAATTTGCAAAATTACAACAAAATTTTTGTTTATTTCCGTTGTCATGAAAGCTGCAACATATATGCAACACTTTTATTCATTCTGTATACAATATCTCGAATATTGCGATGCAAAATAATTTTAATATTTTCAATTTATAGGTTTTTATTTTAAAGAATTGTTTTCGGTTTTAAAATATATATTTTGAAATACAACAAATGAATTATTAATTCTTTCCACTGTGTGCTTTATTCTAAAAATAATTCTAAAAAGATGGGTATTTTATAGATCTCCCTCGAATTTTAATTAAATTCGTCAAAATTGTAATTTTGCAAATTTGTAAAATTGCGATAAAATTGCAATTTTTTGGGGTTCAATCGAACCTAAAATTTCCAGCAATTCCAAAATCCCCAATCACGTTTAAATAATATAATATTCCAAAATTACAATTTTCCAATCTTTCCACTATACCACATACATTTCCATTTCATCTACACTTTCACCCACATTGAAATCAGCAATAAAACCTTTTGCGTCTAAAGAAAAATTATCGAGAATTCTTCCAGAATAATAACTGTACTACGAAAAATTGTCGTAAAGCTATAAAGCAGGTCCAGAAAATATCTGGAGCAAAAATAATTGGTCCACAAGCCAATAATTTCCTGCATAAATTAACACCGGTCGAAGAAAAACCATCCTCGTAACCTAACCTCGTTAAACCGAGCCACATAAAATACTTTCATCTACCTGTTCCTTGGATCAGTTGGCTAATCTGAGTTCCGGATGTACACGTGTTGCTAATAGACAATAGACACGCCAAAGCCCGTATCTCACGGGCCACACATGTTCGGGCAGATAGGCGATATCGCGCACACCTTTGGGCCGAGGATCCACGCCTGGGCCAGTCCTTTGTGCCCTGCGGACAAAGGATCGAGGAATGGTTGTTTAAAGAAGGGCGACTCGCGCACGCGAAGCTGGAGAATAAAATTCTCTGGGGTGGAGAACGGAAGAAAGCCAAGGAGGCATTTTCTTTCACTGGCGTGCAAGTTGGTGCTAATCGTTTTCCCGGTTCCCTTTGCCTCGCGCTAATTAGCATAATAAGCCGCCCGACCTCTCGGAGGATGGATCCCGGCGATGGTTTACGACGTAGGCCAGCGCTTCGTTCCCTTTGTGAGGCTGTGACTGCATGCAGTCTGCTGCATTTTGCTCCAACGTGTAGCTTAACACGCTCGTGATTGACGACGTTGTGTATATACCCTTGGTGCACCGTGGTTAATTGACGCGAAAGTATCGCGTGAATGGGAATTGTGTGTTTAGCCAGGATTAATTTTGTATGTTCTTCGTGTAACCCACTGTACTCGCGAGTGAAACGACTGGGTTTTTAATCGGTCCAGTGGTTACGTTTCTCTGATATTAGATGTTCTTCGGTTCGCGCAATTTTTCGGTTTTATACTGGAAAAATGGACTTTTCGCTGTACTGCTTTCACTTAACAAATGGTCTTTCAATCCCTCCAGTAGTTTATTTGTTTCACATTAGGTGGTTAACGTAATTAACGTGAATCGATTTTTTTATTTTTGTTTGGAAATTGTGTAATTGGTGTTACGTGTATCACGTGAATTTTTATTTTATTTATGTATAATTAATTTTGTAATCCTTTTTCTATTTCTTTTTTTTCTTATTTTTCTTCTCATTTATATTTGTTAAACATTTGTCTTTTCTTGAATTAAATTTTCGGTTTTTTAATCGTTCATTTGTCATCTGACAGACCTATGTTTAAATTATATTAAGATGGAGTGAAAATGGAAATTTCAGTCTTTTATTTTCTGTAATAATAATTTTTATACATTGTTTTAAATGTATATATGCATTTTAGAAATTATTCTGGAAATTGTGCAGTTGGTGTTACGTGTATCACGTGAATTTTTATTTTGTTTATGTATAATTAATTTTGTAATCCTTTTTCTATTTCTTTCTCTTATTTTTCATCTCATTTATATTTGTTAAATATTTGGCTTTTCTTGAATTAAATTTTCGGTCTTTTAATCCTCAATTTGTCATTTGACAGACCTATTTTTAAATTATATTAGGATGGAGTAAAAATGGAAATTTCAGTCTTTTATTTTATGTGATATTAATTTTTAAGCATTATTTTAAATATATATATATGCATTTTAGAAATTGTTCTGGGAATTGTGCAGTTGTATTACGTGTATCACGTGAATTTTTATTTTATTTATGTACAATTAATTTTGTAATCCTTTTTCTATTTCTTTTTTTCTTATTTTTCTTCTCATTTATATTTGTTAAATATTTAGTTTTCCTTGGATTAAATTTTCGGTTTTTTAATCGTTAATTTGTCATTTGACAGACCTATGTTTAAATTATATTAA